ACACCCACCACATCCGCCCCCTCCCCACCGCGTGCAAGCTCAGCACACGGTGTGCACAGACGCAGCCGCACACGACACACACCGATCCAAGCAGCAGTGCATGTGGGCAACGACACGCAGGAACATGCACGCACGCGCGCGCACACAGGTGCAAACATGTAGTGGGACATGCGCGCGCACACACACACGCACACATACACTCACACACCCATACTGGCACCCATACGCACTGGCATACAGTGGCACACAAACACCCCACACACACACTGACACCAGCACATGTGTGTGCACACACACACATGTGCATACACATACCAGCACTCACCCAAACCCCCAACCACACACAGTGGCACACGCATGCACACTGGCATGCACCAGCACACACATGTGCGCACGCATGCACACCCATGCACATGCTGGCATGCACGCACACAGAGTAGCACACCCACACACATGCTGGGATGCACACGCATGCACAGACACACATACACACATGCACAATGTTGCACACCCCTCCCCCCACCCCACCAACACACACACCACACACACACCCAGGGCTGCACCCTGTCCATGTGTTGCACACCTGTATGCAGCCCCAGGAGGCGCGTGCCAAGACAAGGTCATCCAGGCAACACGCTCATCTTCCAGGGGTGCCCAGTGTGACTGCTGCACATGTGTGTGCACTGCACTCATGCCCCTGCCTTTGTCCTCGACATACACACCTGAACTGCTCACACGAGCCTGCCACGTGAAAAGGCCTAGCAAACCCACGCCATGATGCTCACACATGCGTGTGTGGCACGAATACACCAACACATGTGTGAGCATGTCACATACAGCCACACACTCTCATGTGGACATGGACATTGATCTTGCACTAACATGCCCAGCCTTGCTCACGCCCTTCCGTGGTGCACGTGCAGGACCCCCTCACACCCACACCCCTATGGTGACTACCAGCCTCCCTGGGCACTGCCCCCCAATCTGCATCGCTGCACTCCATTGGCTGCTTGGCTCCAGACATTTGCATCGTATCACCCCATTGATCCCAGGACTCCCCTCCTCCCCCCCTCCCCTTTATATATTTGCATACTAGGAGTTCATTGGTTCTCCTCTCCTACATTTGCATAACCCCAGCCCATTGGGCCCTGAGTTGGAGGATGGGGGGGCAGCCATGATGGGGTGTGTCAACACGCCAATGACATGAGGGAAGGGGGGGTGGTCTAGTGGGGGTGGCACGTGCCATGGACTCACGTGGCACATGCGCATGAACACGGAGAACCTGTGTGTGGTGTGTGCCACACACATTCCTATGGGGTGAGCATGAGGGTTTGCACGGCTGCCTCCTTCCCACATGTGCACACTCAGAGCACACAGGAGGTATATCACCCCCCTTTCCCCAGTGCTACAGGCTCATGCACACGCAGAGCACACGGGAGGTATATCCCCCCCACCCCGGGTCACAGGCTCGTACACAAGCAGTGCATACAGGAGGTATATCTTGCCTACCCCGTATCACAAGCTTGTACACACGCAGTGCACATTGGAGGTATATCACCCCCCACCCCGTGTCACAGGCTCATGCATGCGCAATGCACATGGGAAGTATATCCCCCCCACCCTGTGTCACACGCTTGCGCACATGCAAAGCACACAGGAAGCATACCCCCCACCCAATGTCACAGTCTCGTGCACAAGCAGCACAGATGGGAGGCACAAATGTAGCACAGCAGGCTCACATTTGAACATGGATATTGCATGCAGGGCACACACAAGGCACACAGTCACAACCACTCTCATACATGTACCATACTGGCAAAGGACATGGTGCACCATATACAACACACACGGAGCCTGGGGGGGCACATGCCCCCACATGGTTATACACCTTCCCCACGCAAAGAACACGTGTGAGCTTCCCCATGCCTCTGACATGTGTGCAATCAGAAAGCCCCCCCCAACACATACACGCCGAGTACACGGCTGTGTGTGCCAGGCAACAAGGGAGCACCCAAGTGCCCAAGGGAAGACATATGTAGCACACGAGAGTGGAAGGCATGTGTGCATGTGTATGCTACATACACTGAATGCACGGAAGGGACGTGTGCATAGGTGCTGGGAGGTGCTGACTGCATGCATGCACACACGTGCATGCTGCTTGGAGATGCAACTGGGCACATGTGCATGTGGGACACGGATGTGTCTCCACTCCCCCTGACACGCACACACTACCTTGCACACAGAGCTGTACATGGACAGCACAGTCCCTCTACTCTCCCTGGCACACACAAGCACACACACAGGCACTACCTCACACACACACAACTTAACATGTGTACATACACTACCTCATACACACACAGATACTACCTCACACACAGAGACGCACATGTGCATGTATGTATACTATGTTATGCACACACTTGACACTACCTTGTGCACACATGCTACCTCACGCATGCACACACAAATCCTATTTTGCGCACACACAAATGCACAGCCTTTACCTCGCATGCATATACAGCCACGGCCACTACCACACACTCACCCTCGACCTCACATAGCTCCACATGGACAGCACAGCCCATCTACTTTTCCTGGCACACACCCGCTGTCACTACCTCGCACACACACAGACACACACACACATCACATGAACACGACACTACCTTGAGCACATGCACACTATCTCAAGTGCACACACACTACTTCATGCATGCACACACAAACGCTACCTTGCATGCATGCACACGCACGCACACACAAAAACAATCACTACTTTGCACATAGACACTTGGTACCACACACACACACACTTCCACATGGACAATGCAGCCCCT